GAAACTGAGGCACAATGACTTGCCCAAGGTACTTAGTAGAATTAAGATTTCAACCCGGGTATTTTGACTCCAAGTTAATCTTTTCCATATACATCACATTGCCTTGCCAAATTTCCTATTTTTTCTCCTCCCAGAAAAAGTCAGAGGGGAAAAATGTGTTTCCCATGTCATTTTACATTTCTTGTGAATATACTTGTTTTATGTTCTTTATAGATATGTTACATGTTCTTTGGGTTGGTTTATTAGCAAAGCCTTACTTTCTATTATTTCTCTGACAATGATAAGGAGAAATGCAAAGAATATTGCATTTGTTGGCTAGGAAAGAATATGATTCATTGGAAATAAAAATGATATTGAATGCATTTTATGATAGTAGACTGTACTTTGTATGTGTCACCATTGTTGATCTTGGAGTCAAAGACTCAAATTCAAATTCTGGTTCTGCAACATTCTTACTATGTGGAAGACCTTTATTTAGACTCTTAGAATATCTGGGTGTCAGTTTCATCACCTGTAAAATAAGAGGTTTGGATTAGATACCCTCTGAGGTTCCTGCTGCCTCCAGACCTATCATTTAGAAAGAGACAAGCCTTTTATTAAGCACCTACTCTGTGCTAGGCACTATCCTAAGCCCTTTACAAATATTATCTTATTTGGGATGCTCACAAGAATCTTGTGAGGAAGTTGAGGCAGCCAGAGATTAAGTGACTTGCCCAGGTTCACACAGCTGGCAGGTGTCTGAGACCAGATTTAAACTCTGATCTTTGACTCTAGCTCAGTGCTCTATCCACTGTGCTACCTAGTTGCCCAAAGAATATTGACAAGCCAGTATTATCCTAAAAATATTTACAACTACCTGGGAGGTAGTGTATAGGTGTCTTATTTGGAAGAGTTACAATTGGTAAATATCTCACATTTGCTCTTAGGAGTTGGTTATATTGTATTGACAAGTGTTGTTTCAGAGCTCCAAGTAAAGGTGCATCAGATGCACAGGGTGTTTCTCATGCCTGGCTTAGAAGTGAATTTTGATTAAAAAATAAAATGGACGTGAGATGAACACTGCCAACAAGGCATGGTGAATATGTAAGTCCCAGGATTACTGAGGAACTAGTGACCTGGACCTCACTTATTTAACTGGCAAGATCAATAGAATGTATCGGAATCCACAGAGCTGCCTGAATTCATTTGAGCTGCTTGATGAGGAGGCACCCATAAAATTCTGGGCCAAATAGTGTTGTTTATACTGATCAGCACATCAGAATGCTGGTCTGCCATAAAATGTGTTTGTGCAGTAAGCAAGGGAAAGAAGGGTGTATGAATCATCTTTGTAGGATTGCATGATGAATAAGCAAATACACAGAAGGTCTAGGGGTGGCAAGTGCAGGGGGATGAATTATCATTCAGAGAAGACACTGGACATATCATGTGGCAAGAGTCGTGGGACAATAGGAGGACCAAGTACCTAAAAGTCAGAATTCAACAGGCCTCAAGCCAGATTTCCAGGAATCTAAACATTCTATGGCATTAGCCAAGAAATTTGCCGTTTGGATTTGGACTAAGATGGAACCTGGCAAGTATGGTGCCATGACTTCTGAAATTCAGTGACTCCATGCTCTAATTGTGGTGAGCAATGACAATGTGAATATGGAAAAATATGAATAATTGTTTGTAAAAAGCAGCTTCTATGACAAATTGCCATTCTCTGGAATGTGTAATAGAATATTCTGTTTGAGATGGTATCTATTCTACATAGATAATCTATTTTTAAAGAATTAAAATACCATAGTACACACTTAACAGACACTAAAACCTTCATAAGTGCAGTCAAAATGTTGATGCTTCTGAGGACATTTCACAGTCTTGCAGTGATTATTCTTTGAGCAAGTTATTGAACTTTCCAAAACTTTTTTTCTCATCTATAAAATAGGAATAATAGTACTTGTTCAATTTACCTCACAAGGCAATTGAGATGAGAGTGTTTTATGAACTCTGAAATTCTCTGATCATAATCTGTCATTCTAACTTTTCTTTGGCCTTAGTCTTCCTAAATGTGAAGGCTGATCTCGAGTTCTTCTACCCCTCAGCATTTAGTTCAGGTTTAATATTGGGATGAGCTTATAAGTTATTGAATATGTAACCGAAGGGGGTTTTCCTTCACCCAAACACAACAAGATTATGTATTAAGGATGTGGTACCAGTTAGCTTCTCTGGACTCAGCCCACCTTGTTTGCATCTGGTCAGTAGTTCTCAGAGTATCATGACTTGTAAGTGGCCAAGTTTGAGAGGCATAGACTCTCTATGACTGGTAGGTTGTTTTTTTTTTTAATGTTTCTGGAAGCCCAGAAAACTGATCAGGTCCCAGAGGCAGCTTTGTTGAGTACCATATTGAGTAGGTTGGGGAAGGAAGCTGAATCAGGGAAGTCAAATAGGTCCCAGGGCTGACTTTATCTTCTTTTAAGTAAAGCCTCCTCATGTTGTGGGTGGGAGAAAAATGTGCCAGGCTAATTCTGGTCCTCTCACACATGCACTCTCTCCCCTGTGAGAATTTTAGCTACTTGAGGTAATTACTTAGAGTGCCTGTAATGAAATAGGTTCTGAATAAATATTTTGATTGATTTTAAAAATAAAATGTCCAATGATTGTGAGCCGATATTCATAATAAATACTGGTTCTAGAGATTAATCAAGAGGATAAATGTTATGTGCTATAGATATCCAGGCTTTTGCCCCCTTGACAGCAGCTATACTATACCTTTCCTTTAAAATATTTCACTTTTATATAAACTTGTACTAGTTCTCTTTTCTGTGTGTCAACCATTTTTTAGTTTTGACCGTTAAAAAAATCAACCCTTTGATTTTCTGGGGTATAAAGCTCTTTGGTGAAGAAGTTCCCTCTACCTATGCAGAGGGGCAACTATTAAATGACTTCTGTCTTAGAGAATTGCCTGGGGGCATTGAAGGTTTAAGGGACTTATCCAGGATTACAGAGCCCATTTTCTGCTTGAACCCAGGTCCTCTTGACTCTCTAAGATTGGGTCTGTATCCACTTTCACCTTTTACCTGTCACTTTCAGTCATGTCATTCATAGATAATCTCCTCTTGGTTCTGACTCTATTTCTTCCTCCCTCCTCTCAAACTCTATCCTTCTTCTCTCTCTCTTTCTCCCTTTTGTTTTATTGATGTTTCTAATAAAGCTTTTGTTCCACACCTTGTGCATCACAGGTGACATGGTCACAGGATAAGGCATGTCAACAAACTCCCCAGAGGACACTATGAAAGTACAGTTAGTCAGCTAAAATGATTCATGGACTAGTGTAAGGGCAGGATGTCAGGATTCAGTTTGGATATTTAGTGGGAGGCTGGAAATTCATCCTCAGAGGAGAGCAGAGTGATACTGGGTGGAACAGTGGATAGATGGCTGGACCTGGAGTGAGAAACACCTGAGTTCATATCTGAAATCAGACACTGACTAGCTCTCAGACTCTAGGCAGATAATGTTTGCCCACTTGTGAAATGGAAATAATAACCACACATTCCTTCCAGGATTTTTGTGGGAAGCAAATGAAATAAAATTTTTAAAGTGATTAGTGTGGTGTTGGCACATAGTAGGTGTTATATAAATGTTAGCAATTATTATTATTTTAAACAAACTAATATTTTACTGAGGCTTTTTAGTTTGAGAATAAGAATACATATGTGATTTTTTCCCCAATTAAAATATCCTGCAAACGCTACTGATTTTTTTTTTCTGTTCAGTGTCAGGTCAGGAAGCCTTAAGCTGCAGTGACTTACTAGAATCAAAAAATGAACTGTGGCCATCCAGATTGTGATTCAAATAACCCCACTTTCCTGATATGAAGCAGATAATTCACCTCTTACCTTTAACCTCTCTGGTGGTAATAAGTCATTTTAAACTACCAATTCCTGGTTTGCATTGGATAGATATGCTTGCACCTTTCTTTTGTGTTATCTTTGAGAGGTGAGGGGTGCCTAGGCAGCTCCTGCTACTCATACTTGATGGCGCTGGACAATCTTATTAGCAGCTTATACTTATTTTATTTTTTTTTTAAAGGTAAGTGTGAATTGTGAAGAGGAAAGATAATGATGTGTGGAAATGGAGGGATAGAAAAAAGGTGGTAAGGTTGTAGTATAAGTTACATTCCAGATATGTTTATTTGTCTACATTTTTTATTTTGTAAGGTTAAGGACCTTGATCAAGGAAACCTTTTGAAAATCTCTAGCTACGTGTGGAGGAATATCTTCTATGAATATAGAGGAATTTCTTATTTGACTCTTTTGAACTGGATGGCCTTTGAGGTTACTTCTACTCTTGAGATTCTATGATCCTGTCAGTGTCTGTGGAGCTGAGCAAAATAGGACAGTAATAGTTGTGGGGATTGCTAACTTGTGGTTGACACATTCACTGTTTGAATGAAAGTATTCATCCCTCTCCCTCGTCCTTCCCACAGGCGCAATAACCTGGTTCTGGCCACAAAGCAGATATGGTTTAAAATTTGGTGTGCCTTGTTCTTGATAACATTGCTTATTATTTTCTGGATTTTGTCCATGCATTTTCATGTTTAAATAAGAGTGCCTGTGGTCTTTGATCTTGAGTGACCAAAAACCTTTCAGCATAAATTATGGATTTAGGGCTTTTGATTTTGGGCAATAGAAATAATAAAGTGCTGTGCTTTGAGGGATTCTATTTTGTCAGGTCTTTGCAACAAGCATCACCTTTAGGCAATGAAAGTAAATTTTGGTGGAAGTTTGGAAACTGCTAAGTAACTGAATCTAAGAGTAACTTGTCTTATTGTCAGAGACTCCTCAAGTGATTCCATTGAGAACCCCCAGACAATATCAAAACCACTACACAGGCCACTTTTTCTCAGGAAATGCAAAATGGAGACACAACCCTTGGTTGTCAATTTGAACCAAATGGATCCTTCAGAGAATTTATTTTCAAAGGAGATAAATCAGGTTCCCTTTGACCACACTGTAGGAACAATAACAATAATAGTGATGATAATAATAAAAGCTGGCAATTTTATAGTGTTAGGGAATTTCTCAGCCTGGGTTCCTGGAGAGCTGAGGGAAAATTTCACCAATCTGCTGCATCCACTGACCAGGGTCATATCTCTTCAACAGCTGAACTGAAAATAAAAAAAAAAAGATTTATTATCAGGCTAAAGAGTACTGCTCAAGACTGCTTGTTGATAGCAGCTTCACCTTCCTAAGGTACACATACACATATGGTTTTTATAACTTTTCAGGCCCACTTAGAGACCAATCACTGCATTCTGCAGCAACTTATGAAAGATGAGTAAAGCACTTCACAGGATGGGGAGCAGTAGAGGAAGGGGGAATTAGCCAAAAGAAAAGTAGCTCATATAATTTGTTGTTATTTATTTCTCCTTGTACAGTGTTATAATTTTGCAAAGCACTATAAATGTGTTAGGTCATTTGAGCCTGAACAACTCCACTTTGAGAAAGTAACTATAAGTATTGCCACTGAGGAGGAAATGGAGGCTCAGAGTTAAGTGATTTGCCCAAGGTCACGCAGCTAATAAGTGCCTGAGGCTGGAACTCTGGTCTTTCTGACTTCTGGGCTAGCCTTCTTAATTCCCACTCACACTTGAATTACTCCATTCTTCCCTCCGCCACTGGAGTATGGTGTAAGCAAGGCATTATCACTAAAGCCTGATTTAGTACTTAACTGTCTAGCAGTAGCATGTTTTTTTGGAGTCAGTGCCTGAGCAAGTTGTCTCCTTTGCTTTTCTCACTTGCATTCAAATTACATAAATTTAAGGTATTATAAGGACAGCTAGGTGGTCCACTGGATGGAGTGCTGGTCCTGAAGTCAGGAAGACTAATTTTCCTGAGTTTAAATATGACCTCAATCACTTAGTAGCTGTATGACCCTGGGCAAGTCACCTGTTTGTCTCAGTTTCTTCATTTGTAAAATGAGCTGAAGAAGGAAATGGAAAACCACTTCAGTATCTCTACCAAGAAAACTCCAAACAGTTAGAGATGGACATGACTGAGAAATGATTGAATGAACAAAAACTATTTCTAGATGGATCTTTTAGTAAGCTGTGTGGTATGGAAGTACTGTGTGATGTCCATGGAGTGGTACTGACCATAGGGTTGTGGGGTTCACTCCTCTTTTCTAGAACAGAATGAGAGTAACCCAGGAAGGAGCCTCTAGATTTTTCAGAGTCCTACAAGTTTAGTTTAATTCTTTCATTGTGTAGAAATCTTCATAAATGAGCAGACTTGTTTTTTCATACCTTTCTTTTTAAAATTGGAGAGGAAGAACTATAAATGTATTATTAAATTTACACGTTAACAAATTTCTCTTTGCCTCTGTGACCTTGGGCAAATCACTTAACCTTCCTAGGCTTCAGTATTGGCATCTCTAAAACAAACAGATTAAACAAGGTGATCTCTGGATGCCCTATCAGCTATAAATTAATAGTCTTATTTTCTTGCTAATAATCCCTACCTTTTTCCATTTCAAAATGTTTTATTCATGCATTTTTTTAATAAAGTTTTCCCCAGGATCTCTTCCCCTATTCTTCTTAGAGGGTCATTCCATATAACAAACAGTATTTTTTGAAGACCCCTTCAAAAAAAAAGAGAAGAAAAATCAGCATAATTCATCAATACATGGAAAAAGTCTGAAAATTATGTATATATATATATATGTATACACATACACACATATACAACACTTGTGGGTCTCCCACCTCTGTAAAAGGGTGGGGATAGAGGGGTATCTTCTCATATCTCCTTTTTCAAGATACTCTTGTTCCTTATATTTTTGCAACATTTGCTTCTAAAAAAAAGAATATTCTTTTCATTTCCATTGTTGCGACCATTGTGTATATTTTCTTGGCTTTGTTTACTTTACTCTGCATCAGTTTGGTAGATATTTCCTTGCTTCTTTGTATTTATTAAATTTTAATTATCTTACAACATAAAAGTATTCCATTGCATTATTTTTTTAGGCATTTTCCAATTGATAGCCATCTACTTCCCCCCCCACCTCTCCCACCCAACTCTTTTGCTATCATAAATAGTGCTGTGATAAAAAATTTTGGTGTATATGGGGGCTTTTGGTTTGTCAGTAGCTTCCTTGTGGCAATTCCAAATTGCTTTATGAAATGGTTGTACAGATTCATTGTTCCACCAGCAATATACCACTGTGCCTGTCTTCCCACAACCCCTCCAATATTGACTGTTCACTTCTTTTGCCCTTTTTGCCAACTTGGCTGGGGGTGAGGTAGAATCTCAGGTTTGTTTTGATTTGCATTTTTGTTATTAATGATTTTGGAACATTCTTTCATGTGGTTGTTAATACTTTGCAATTCTTTTGAAGATTGCTTATTTGCATTCTTTGACCCTTTATCTATTGGGGAATGGTTTTTGGTTTGAGATGTATACACACACATTTGTATTTGTTTATATATCTTAGATACCAAACCTTTATCAGAGAGATTTTATATGAAAAATCCATAATTTTAAATACTGGTTTGGAATAATTTAGGCCTGAGTAGGAGGGAGGTAAAGATGGAACATTGATTCTTTCCATAGCCTGCATTTTCTATGTGACTTTTAAGAAAGCCCTAGTTTTATATCTTTAATAGCTTAATGTAAGACTCGATCATATACTTAGGTACTTAGTATGAAAAGAGCTGAAAATGTAGTTCTCAGTTAATATGTTTAAACTTTACAGTTGCTGCATTTGCTGACTCCTAAATATTTACATACATTTGGGGGAGGCTATTGAGTGGCTATCTATTACTAATTCAGTTTGTGAATTAAGAGAGCCCTTGTGTGGTGTTCAGAAATTTAAATAAAGAGATTTTACATCAGGTAACTGACATAGTGCTTGAATACCGGACCTAATGAATATTCTAGTTCTCTCGGCTCTATTTTTCAGTAAATGTGTTCCTCATTATTTTATTTTCCATTCTGCCTGCTGTAATAAATCTGTTTCTCTGTTCGTTTACTGCTGCATTCTGAATTGTTGATTCTGTTGGGGTCCTCCCACCCACTTGAGACCAAATCAACCCATTCATTTTATAAAACTAATAATTTCCACAAAGTACTGAGGAAGACACTGTTCTACTTTGCTAAGGTATTAGTTAGGGACTTGGGTAGAAACTAAGTGATTTGTTCAGCCTAGTCTAGTTTATATAGTTGAGCTGCCATTTTTCTTTTAATCTGGACCTCTAAGCTATCATATTAAACATAAAAGTAAATTTAGTTATTGTTTTTGTGAATGTTATTTTCTTTATCAGAGATTGTAAATATTTTAGGTGATTTTATATGGTTTCTTAAGTATGATTTTATTACATTTTGAGTTAAAAATTTCTATAGAAATCTCAAATTTCAGAATATTATATAAAATGTTAGGTTTAGTGACTAGTTTTTAAGAAAATGTATTGTTATATGAGATACATTTGTATTTTAGATTTTTTAAACTGATTAAAATTTATTTGGCAACTCTCTGGGGATACAAAGATAAACATAATACAGTGTTATATTTAGTTCAGTATTTGTCAAACTCTAGCCTAGAGTTTCTTAGGATCCATGAACTTGGTTTCTTTTCAATGCAAATTTAATTTTAATTTTAATATTATTTATTGCATTCAAGTATTTGAAGGTACAAACATTTGCAGACATTTTCTATTTGGCCCCAGAAAGTAGGACTTGGGAGCTATGGAAGTTGCACAAGGGCAAATTTAAGGTTAATGTCAGTTGAAACTTCTTGATAATTAGGCCTATTCAAAAATAGGATGTACTGCCTTAGGGTGTGGTGGATTTCTCCTCACTGGAAATTTTTAAGCAAAGACTAGATGACCATTTGTGAGGTATGTTGTAGAGGACATCCCTTTTCAAGGCAGGGGTTTTGGGCAAATGACCTTTGAGGTATTTTTGAGCTCTCGTGTTTTGTGATTCAGCTTTTTCTAGAAGACTTTCCATAACATAGAACTTACTAACTCTCAAGATAATCCATCTAGGGAGCAGCTAGGTGGCACAGTGGATAGAGCACTGGCCCTGGAGTCAGGAGGACCTGAATTCAAATATGGCCTCAGACAAATAACACTCACTAGCCATGTGTGACTCTGGGCAAGTCACGTAACCCCAGTTGCCTCACTAAAAAAAAAAAAAAAAAGATGATAATCCCTCTAGGCCACTACTGTTACCCAGGGGCTGCTTAACCCTCAAATGTCCATTGCTGCCATTCATTCTGGGCACAGAATAGTTCTTCTTGCTGTTGTTCAGTCATTTCAGTCATAACTGACTCTTCGTGACCTCATTTTGGGTTTTCTTGGCAAAGATACTGGAAAGGTTCACCGTTTCCTTCTCCAGCTCATTTTACAGATGAGAAACTGAGTCAAACAGTGTTAAATGACTTGCCCAGAGTCATATGGCTATTAAGTGTCTGAGGCCTGACTTCAGGCCCGCCACTCTATCCACCATGCCATTTGGCTACCCTACAGAATACTTAGTCATGGATAAAAATGAACTGGTATAGAAGGTCAGATTTCTTTCAGAAGGCTGAGAGAGATGATGATATGGTAGCCTACAATCCATGAAGTAACTAGCTAGCAGATAAATTATCCAATGAATAGAGGGATCTTCACCTTGTTGCTTACAAAAATGTTGTAGGAGCCTAGACAATCATCTTGGAAGGTTGTAGAGGAAAAGATGGAAGGTGCTGGGGGAGGGGAAACAACAATAACAAAACATAGCAGATGGCCTGAGAATACAGAGGAAATTGAGACTGAACTAAGATGCATCTGTAATGATGTACTGTCTCCATAGGAAAAGTTTTTGATTCCTAATGCTTCACAAGCAGAAAGTAAAGTTTTCCACTGGAAAAAGAAAGGGGGCCACAGCCATTATTTGACTGAGATTGCTGCTGGTGATGATAAGAAAGGGAATAATGGATCAATCACAACCAGCATATCAACAAGCGAAAAGGAGATGCAACCTATGTATCCTATAAAATTGGGCCTGGCACAGAGTTTCTCTGTTCCGTTATGAGTTCCTGAACCACCCAGAGAAAGCTTTTCTTCTTTTGAATAGCCAGCCTTGATGAAGCCATTGTGGAATTTGATACATTAAGTGAAGAATCGTACAAACACAGTGCTCTAACAAAGCAATTACTGAGAGATAACAAGATTGTGGTCATTGGACACCCAAGGAGTTGAAGATGAAACAGAATGAGAAAATTAAGCAGCCTTCCAACATTTGTCTGCTTCATTCCAATATGTACACAGAAGACCATTTGTCATCTATGTCATCCCACAAACAGCCTTTGTATATGAATCATGACAGATTTATGTTATGTCTTTTTGGATTTCTTTATTTCTGATGTCGTTTTTATGTAAAATATTAAGGGATTAAATGCAACTTAACATTTGAAGAGTTATCAGTTTTCATCCAAGATGTCCCAATACAGGCATATGGATTTTTATACACATTTTACTTGTTAGTCAACAAGCATTTATTAAGTGCCAGACACTATGCTACGGTCTGAGGAGTCAAAGAAAGGCATTTCCCAGGCTCCCGCCCCAAAACAACAACAACAACAACAGTAACAACCAAAAAACAAGCAACAACAAAAACCAGTCCCTGCTCTCAAGGAGCTCACAATCTTACTGGGGAGACAACATGCAAATGGAGATTTCCACAGAAAAAAAGACGTTAAGGAGGACTGAGAATATCTTTGTGTAGAAGGTGAGATTTTTATTAGGACTTGAAGGAAGCAAGGGAAGTCAGCAGAGATGAAGAAGGAAATAATTCCAGGTATGAGGGGACAGCCATTGAAAATGCCTGCAGTTGAGAGCTGGAGTGTCTCTTTGGAGTGCGTCTTTGGCAAAGTACTTTTGCTCCATTGTGATCCCATGAGGCTAAAATAGTTTTTATGTCTAAGCAAAGAAAACTGCTAACATGTTGGTCTGTCGTGGTGGTGGGAAAAGGCATAATTGGTTCCAATCCCAGCTGTAGTTATTGTAGGTACATTAGGGTTGGTGGTAGAAATAGATGTCCTATAATTATTACGTGTCACACCGTGTATATCTGGAATATGCAATTTCCATGTGTACACCTTTATGAGTGCAGTTGCAAAAGTGTTGCTCAAGACAGTTTTAACCCATTTTATTCTGTACAAAAAATGAAACAGTTCGTAATCCATTACTTGTAGTTACCTGCTGTTTGCTTTCAGTATTTTTGCTACAGTCCTTTTATTTGCATTTCAATGGTTTAGACAACCCAAGAACATGTAAGTAAAGTTTCAGTAAAAATGAATTGCTTGATATTCATAGTCACTGCAGGATCATGCACAGCAATAAAACTTAAAAAACAAAAGAAACAAACCTGTATTTAACTTTTCTATTTTTGGTTTGTGATTTTTTTTTAATAACATGCATGTACCGTAGGAAGAATTAACGGTGAGATAATTTGACGTGATGGCTAATATGACACTTTCATGAACAATCCAAATGTAATTGTAGTTTATGTAAGAGGAACAAAAGTTTGGTCAATGGGGGAAAATATGTCATTCCATTTGGGAATAAAACCAGATTTTGTCATGCTGAATCTTGGCTT